TTATTAAATACTGACAAAGAATAAACTAAAGCGACCAGAAAAGTGACCAAAATAAATATAACAAATAAATACATGGACCACCCCGACTCTCTTTTTTTCTATTGCGCCACACGTCTATCGATCGATATATATCGTTATTGAATTATCGCCCAGCCCTAGAATAAAGGGCAATAAAAAAAAAAAAAAAACTCCTGATGGTTTCTGAGCCTTACCGTCGTTCTCTCTTATGCAGCAAAAACCCCAACAGACAGACGATGAAAACCACCAACAGGAGGCCCAGCATCAACCCCAATGCCTGGCTTCGGCGGGATATATTTGGGGAAACCAGGTCGCCATCGGACGTCTGCCGATTGACGGTTCTGCAGAAAGTCAACCTCATTTTAACTCCCTGAATAAAACCGCTAAATCTAATAGGGTAGAAGCTGTGTACTCACGTCAGCCCACACACAGCGTCCGTGTACCACGCAAACGTGTACTGGCAGTTATCCGTCTCCCTCCTGAACTCCGGGATGCCGACGCCCGCTGAAGGGTTGCAGTAGAACACGATGAGGGAAGAAGCGTTCTTGCTCTTCTCCCGGCCGCACTGCGACTCCGAGGGAACTTCCACTTCCAGGTTTCCTCCTGGAGACGGTCAGGCAGGTATCGGTGTTTAGGAATTTATAACCATTATCCTCTTAGACACACCGAGAATCTACATGCAGCTTTTAATGATACTTGCTTGCTTCTAAGTCTTTTGGTTCGCATCATGCATTCAACTGAGAGACTAAAGTTAACAAATTTTATTGATGTTTTTCATTTTTTCTATCACCTAGTTTTAAATCTGCAGTAATGAGCAACAATAAAAATGTTATAAAACAAACTGGAAACGGCAGCCTTCAAATCTTTGTTTGTTGTCGAGGTTTCAGATTCAAAGAGCAGAACTTTAGGAGACAACAAACTCAAACTGTCCAGCAGCGTATGGACCGAACGGCGCCCTGGTCCTTTTCATTTAGTAGCTGTTCTGGTGTTGGAAGCAGAGGATCAAACCTGCTCTGTTTTTACCAGGAGTGCCGCCTAATCACAGCACTTTGTTTTTTGTAAAACTGCTGCACGACATGGATACCCCTGATCTAAGTTGGATTTGATGCAGAAAAAGTAGAAATCATTCAATTACAACTTAAACTTTCCCTTCAAAGCTGTGAAATCAATTGGTAAAGTAGATTAAATTTAAAACTTTAAAAAATGCTCATAGACTTGTGACTTTAACACCTTTGATCTTAGACCCGTTTACTTTAAAAGACTTGATATTTCATCCAAAATCTAAACCACTAATTTAAAGAATTTTATTTATTCCATAGAAAAAACTAGGCCTTGTCTGTGTCTTTTCACACTCCGTATGTGTTCATGCATGAGCTGCAGCACAGCTAATCAATTTTTTTAGTACTTCTCATGGTTACATAAACTGCAAAGTGCTCAAATAAATATTAATTTGAAGTTTCCGACACACAAAAGAAGAGAATCAAAGATGAAAAGAACTTCCTGCCACTCAGTTTTATTAAATGTTGATAAATAAATGCTTATTTACATTTAGCATCTAATTCACCTGTTTAAAAAAAAAAGACGGGAAAGGAGCTGAAATTTGAATTTTCAGACATTTTCAAAACAAAATGACTTAGTCCCAACTATGGAATAAATTACCTTTGATTGTCTTTTTTTTTTTACATGATTGAATCAGGAAAAAATAATCCTTGGATTAACCACATATATACACATATATATACATACATATATATACACACATATACACACACACATATATATATATATACACACATATACACACACACATATACACACACACATATATATATATATACACACATATACACACACACATATATATATATA